AATTGAATTGAATTGAATTAATTCAGAGAGGTAGATGATAAAAACAGTGGAAGGTGAGTCTCACTGCTGTATTTATGTCTTAAATCTCTTATATATATATACATATAAAACCTTTGAAGTGCACATGTAGGTAAGAGAGGATGACCTCACAGATCCGAGCCTGTACCTGCTGATCTTCCTCTTTATGTTGCTGATATGTACGAACCAGTGCTTACAGGTGTGTTTGTGTTTTTGCAGGATGAATCCGACTCCTCTCCTCTGTGTGTTCTCCCTCTCCTCCGGGTGGGGGGGTGGTCCTCCTCCTGCTTTGACCCCCATCACTCCCTAAAACTCACCTCGGGGAATCTCTCCCGCACAATAACTGAATGCTGTGTGTTCTCCTGTCACCTGATATGTGTAATTCCTTCAGCTCCAGCTTCACAGATTTGAACCTGAACTGCTTTTGAATGTTGATGTTGGTTTTTAAATGTTGTCCAGTGATGCAGTGATGACTTTAATGTATGTGTGTTTCTTAAAGGATAAATCTTGTGACAACAAATCCCATGAAAACACCAAAACCAACAATGAATTTATCCTACTAATAAGTGCTATCTGCTTGGAGTATAAATGTTTCCACCACCTTACTGCATCAAAGTACTCACTACAGCAGCAAATGTGGATTAATCCGCTGCTGAAAATAGTCCCCAACAAATGCACAATTTCGTCCTGTTTGTTGGATAAAAGCTACAGTTAGCAGCTGTTTTAGGAAATTACTCAACCACAAAAACTTTATTTCAAAAGTTTGGTGTTCATGGGCTTTGACAAATTAGCAAAGATCTGTACTAACACCAGTCTAATCCTCTAAAATCTACAGAAATGTAAGATGGAGTCAGTTTCAGTGTTTAAAGGCTACGTTCACACTGCAACCATAAATCTGATTTCTTTATCTCAGATCTGTTTTTTAATGACAGTGTAAACAGTGAGTCACATAAAATCTGATTTCATTTTCGGTCTTATATTTAGATACAGGTCTTTAACGTCACTGTAGATCGACAGTGGTCATTGTTCTGCGCTGCGGTGGAGGTAGTGAGTGGAGGGACTCAGACATTCACCGACAGATAAAGCAACCTCTTCAGTTTATTGAGCGTCGCTGCTGAGTTCAACAGGAGTTCAGTCACTGAGGAGGATGCTTCACATGAGTCACAGAGCAATTATTTCTCAACACACAAGGTTACCAGCGAATATGCTGCTTTCTTTTTAGACGCACACAAAAGTTTAAATATTTCCTTCCTGTTTTGATGCCATTTACTGCCAGTAAAAATGGGTTAGCTTGCTAGCTTTTGGACTGTGAGAGAACTACGGAGTCAACTGAAGTAAACTTTTAGGTTTATCAGCCTCTTAAATGAGTTTCCTCATCTGGAGCTCGACGTCTGCTTGAATCCATTTTTCCATTAATCATCTAATAGTCGTTTTTTTCTTGATATTCTGTTTCTGTTGTCTATTTAAGTACCTCTTTAAAGCACTATATAAAATAACTTTGGAGTGAAACTCTGCATCCACACACACCTGCGTACAGGTGGTAGCAGGTTTCTCTTCGTCCTCGTCATCATCTGTTCATGAATTTGCTGTCTTCAACTGCACATTAACCTATAAATCAAACCGAACACAATGTCCGTACTATAGCGTTCTCATGCGGCTCAGTTCAGACCAGGTTCAGACCAATAAATCAGAATTAAGGTTTACAGTGTGAACATAGTCCTGCTGATAATCCCCCATTATCACACATGGGATTGTTCACTGTGGTAATCCAGTTTAATTCACACTTCTCCCAGGAAATGTTTCACATATGACACCTGAAGAATTGTTTTATAACCTTTCATTGGGAAATGGAAAAAGCAGCCATGTTTTAGTTTGGGATCCATTCAGTTTTAAGTATCTTTGTTTGGAAGAGGACAATATTGTTGAATAAATAACATAATGTAACTCTGAGGGTTTTGGATTAGCAGCAGTATATCAGCACCAGACCTTCACTGAGTTACAGCAGCCTCGAGTATATTGAGCTTACTGCTGAGTTCAACAGGAGTTCAGCCACTGACAAGGATGCTTCACGCGTCAGACAGCCATTATTTCTCAGCGCAGAAGGTTACCTGATCCATGTGGTCTTTATGTTTTAGACTACATGAAGGGCTCCTTGTCCAGCACGTGCTCCCTCAACAGTGAAAACCCGTACGCGACCATCAATGACCCGCCCGGCCTGTGTAAGCACTCAGAGAGCAGCTACGTGGAGATGAAATCGCCGGCTCATCATGAACACATGACACACTGCTGCTCCGCCGCCATCATCACCACCACCACCACCACCACCACCGCGCCCGCCAAGAACGTCTACGACATGGGTACGTTGGAGGCCAGAAGGGGCACCAGTGCGGCTTTTTAAAGGTTCTGTAAACGTTGTTAATAGTGACACCATTGGCAGTTAAGGGAACTGCAGTCAGCGTCCTGTTGCTTGCGCTCTGTACACATCTATAGGAGCGAGCGGGCATCATCCTGAACATCTGCCAACAGTGACAAACACTGAACGCTGTAAAATAACTGACAGTCATATTTAGAATAACGTTACTACGGAGAGAGAAGGCACTCGGGAGCATAA